ACAGTCAACGCAAAGAGGGGCTGGGCAAGTAGATATACATTATAGAATTGTCAGGGTGAGATATACGGACGCGATACGAATGAAAAAAAAAAGAAAAAAAAAAGAAATCTCGTCTCTCAAGGCGCATTTACAAGCGAAGGTGTGCGCGTGATAAAGGACGGAGGGGGTTGAAAAAAATGGTGGGTACGGGTATGAGCTGTCCCAAGAAAATAATGGTCCAGGGAGAAATGAAATGGCTGCGGTAACAAGGAGGAAGTCCGATAGAAACAAAAGGAGCTTTTCGCGAGTCGCAATCCATTCGCGTGGCGTGAAACTTACGACTGCGAAATTGGCAGGGTGCAGATAAGGGGTGTCTTGAAGAAAAAAAAGAGAAAAAAAAAAGAAAGAAAAAAAAAAGGGATTCCCAAATCCTTATCAGCCACGTGTTATTTCACGCTCCTTTTTGTCCTGTGATTTCCGTCCGGGTTTTCCCCAGGGGGTGCGACGGAGGGCGTATCGCCCTCCCTTAGCGAGCACGAGGACCAAGACCGAACCTAACTGTCAGAGAGGCGCGATTTTTACCCTGTGCAGGGTGTTAAAATCCGATTAGTGGTCCACGGGGAGACGACCAAGGGTGGCTCGTGAGTGCTGGTACTACCTAAAGGGGGTTGCATTATAGACATCCCCTCCATACACGACTCACCCCTGCTTCCAGACGTACTCTTGATGTACCCTTCTGTTATAATTCCAGATATAGCAAGTATTAAAGGGATCGAAAAAAAAAGGGGTCGCATTATTAATTTATGCTAACGTAGGCACCAATAATTCGGTCTGCCATGGACCACTCTTTAATCTTCTACTTGACTGTAGGTTATGTCATATAGCTGACTGCAGATAACTGTCACAGTGATTGGACGCATACAGCTATGATCTTGGATAATACTTATAGATCCAACCCTTGTATCCATAGATACGTCAATGAAAGACCTTAAGAGGGATGGTACGAGGTATACATCAAAGTTCAAAGTTCGACTTGTACCCGGCAATAAGTCGGTGCCAATTAAATGATCTCTATGAGACGATATGCAATAGAGGCAGGTCTAGGGGATGTTTTGAATTCAAGAGGACGACGATTGGCTCCCTTTTACTCAACATTGGCGAGCCATTATCGTTGGGCGACACTCGAGGACCAGCAGCCGGAGGACGAAGGAAGAGACGATTGGTCCATAGGGAAGAAAGGCTGTTTCTCTAGGAACGACTTCCATCCTTTATTTTCTTGTTGGATTTCTCTTTTTCTTCAGGCTTTTAGTTTACCTCTCCCTCTCTCTCTCTCTTACGTCTCTCAGTCCACTGGACCAGCTATCTCGACTCTCGTGCTCTGGTAATGCCAGAGCCAGAGCCCTGGGGAAACCAGGATGGTCCAGGATAACGGGATGCTGCAGCGTATATATAGCATATCGGACTAGGAATTTTTCTATTCAAGATTCCAGAAATCGTAGAAATATTTCGCGTGAGAAATTCACCAGGCAATCCTGTCGGTTGTTATTTTTACGTCACGGAGTCACTTCGCTCACGAGTCCTTCGAGCCCGTTCCATTTAATTTTCAATATTTCCTCTTATCGTATTTATTTATCCTTATCCTCTGTCACTATCTCCTAAGCCGCAGATAACCCATTCCGGCGCAGACCATTAAGCCAGCGTCGTACGACACGAGCGAGCGCACAGTTGTTGCGCCAGTTCACAACGTACTACGTACAGTCCCTTTCAAAAGCACGCATCGCCTAACTCCTCGCGAAACTTTCCACCGGGCTCTTGAACGAAGCGCGAAGCTTTGCTGAAATTCCAAGGGAAACCCCACTCCACTGTCAATGCCACAGTAGCAAAGTACCATTTAGTATACCGTTTATCCGTTAGAGGGCTAAGTCGATCCTCCAGGGCCGTACTCCTTCCACGGGGAGGGGCGCAACTATGGGGAAGGTCTGTATTCTGTTGGTCCTGGTGAGGGTGGGCTGGTAACTCAGCCCTAAGCGTAACACACTCAGCCCATTAGCCGCTACATTTCGTGCCCGGTCGCGAGGGAAGTGGTACACGTCCGTGCCTACGTCAGCCCTCCCTGGTACATGCCACCCTGAGAATAGGGGTAGTAGAAGCATTCGGCAAGTCTTTCCTGAACTTTCATAAAGGAACTTTCTGTACCGTCGGTAAAATCACTGAATACGCCGGGTCACACGCATGCTACATATGCCGTCACGCTGGGACGTGTCGCTAATAGGCATGTGGGAAGAGGGGTCGTGGAATGGTTTCAGCGGTGATTTTCCAAGGAAAATTAATTTTCAACCGGGGGTGCTTGTCAAATTTTCGGAGTATGCCCCAACCCATCCTTTTTTACCAGCCCACTATGAGGATCCTGGCATCTGGTTAAGTAAGGGGGTTGTAGATGACGGGTTAAGTTAGTTTATCAAAGGCAGGGGTTCAAATACTACAGTACTGTAGAGGTTAGGTGTATATGGTAAGCATTCAAGATGGAGAAGCTTGTGGGTATGGTAGAAGGGTGTATAGTTAATACTATACCGGTATAAGGCGGAGTATAGTACCTATACTGGCCAGGCACGCACAGCCCCTCGCGTAATTGAATCACGCTTGGCCCGTCGAGGCGTAAAACGCGGATTAAATACGGCATACGTGGAACAGCACGGAACTGTGCGAAACTCTGGACGGCTCACAAGCCGAAGGGTGGGGCGGGGGGCCCTCTGTCGGTAACTAAGGGGAACTGGTTCAGGACCTAGATATTGAAAATGGCGTCACATTTCTCGCGCGTGGTAATACGTGAACAGAGGTCAAATAGTGAAATGAAGGGTCAAAGGTCATATTGCGCTTGCACTTAGCTATCCACGAATAGAGTTGATTTAACCGAAAATTTTTTTATTTCGCATATGATATATCTTAGAATAGATTGCTTCTTTTTTTTTTTTTGCGAATCCCATGAATTCGTATACGTCCTCTAATTCGTAGGTTTACAACCCTTTGATTCGGGACGTGGAAGGGTGCAAGTGAATTTCACGAGGGCGCCCTCGATGCTCGATTCATGCCCTCTCGAGCGCCCTGAAAACATCAACCGCCGACACGAGCCCCTGCCGCAATCCTGAAGATTGTTTGATCGCGGTCTACGAGTATTTGAAAGGCAGCCTTTTTTTTACCCTGTTTCCTCCTTTTCTTTTCTTCATCTGACTCCCATCCGACTCCCTTCCCCCGTGCCTGTACCTTATATAACCTCTAGTTCTTTCGCTCGTCTCCTCCTATTCACTTCCGCCCTTTCGATTTCGCATCCTCCTGTTTCCGGCGTCCCGGGCGGGGGAGGGGGGGAGGTTTCCCGATTATCATTGCCCTACCGTGTTTTCCGCACCCTCGTCGAGGAAGTACCTTCCCCCCCCCTGCCCTTTTTAATGGAACCTCTCCATCGTCGTTTTTCTTTGCTTTTTCTGGTATATCTTTTTTTACCTTATCTTCCTTTTTTTTGTACTTTTTTTATAAGGCGTTAGATCAGCACATTGAAAATAGTTTATACGACAGAACGTATGGATCTTAGGTATACGTATATTATATATATAGGAATTCCATGTACGAATCTGTACATTGCCTGTCATTTTTGTCGCTGGGGAAAAATAGACAGACGCGTTTCATATCGCGACATAAGTATCCACCTTATTTTTTGTTATTTCGGTAAAGAATCCAAATTTGGCGACTCTGTATATAGTGTGATAATAATGTCAGGTCGCACTTTCAGAGACAGTCGTACATCGCTAATCGGGCGACAATCGTGTCTCTGCTAGGAAAAACGCGAAAAATGTGATTGTTTCCATGAAAAACCGTACCTCAGTACGTTTGAATAGGACTGTATTTAAGTGAAACATCCCTAGCGCAGAATAACTCCTGGAATTTTCATCGTCAGCGACCGAGCGACTCCGCGACAGTCATTTCCAGTACAACTGCTGACAATTCCGACCATTCAGCCGAGGCACAACGCGCCGGTAATCATTTGAAACGCAGCAAAGGCGCTGGATGGGGAAAATGGGGGGG